TGCACCTACCGACTACCACCTTTCCGCTCTCTGTCAAACCAAATGAGGAGTGTTACCTTCGATGGCGGAGAGGTTCTTGGAAACAGGCTCAACAACTTCTTCGACACCAGACCGGCCGATTTTTGGCGAAACGGCATCAACAAATTGGTCGAGAGTTTGGAGGAGGTCGCAAACAGTAACAGGAGGATACATCATTGATTAATTTATTATTATATTTATTGTTTTTTGTTAAAACAAATCTCTGTGAAAAAACTCTACGAACTTATGTTACAACCCAATACTTTTGCCGTGAAGTTTTTCAACGCTATCTGTCGAGCCATCGAAATTCCTCCCCGAAACCTTTAGTTTTCCCTTCAATAACCCGAAAGTAAAGCTTGCACTGGTTTCGAGGTAATAGTCGGGGCCAAATATCTCCATGGGGGGTTTGCCAATGGTGTGACGATTTTTCGCGCCGTCATTCCTCTTCTCATGCGTATTCCCATGGATTTACGGCGCACAACGGACGTGCCGTCGCTCAACGTCGACTGTCAACCCTTCAAAGTGCCTGCTTGCCCATCCATTTTTGGTCGTCAAGCCTTCATCATCATCAATTTTGGAGGGAAAATCGATTTTTCCATTTCCGAACTTCACTCCGTTTGATGGTGATCGGTTAATGGTATTACCCGAATTTCCTGGGCGAGCTTGAACCTCTTAGTAGGAGAACTGGACCTCTGGGAAGTAAAAAAACGTACAGTTTAAGTAAAGTATACCTATCTAAAGGCATATCACAGGGTACAAGCTACCTAAGTTCCTTTCCGGGTTGCGGAACTCTTTGGATGGATGCTATTACATGACATTGGAATGAAGGGTAGGCCAAGTTCAGATCCAAGGTTAGTGCAGCCCTGTGCGGGCGAGATTTCGATGGGGAATGCATAGACTGCCTCGTGGGAATTGGTCCAATAAACTGCCTTCGAGTGAAAATGGATAGGTTAGAAAATGTTCTCCCAAACAGCCATTGATAAGGGCGACGACCACTTTGACTCATGTTTAGTTCTGTCGTGATTTGGGAAAGAGAATGAAAGAGAAATAGGGAAGTCTGAAAAGGTTTATTAGGTTTTTTGCCGAAAACCCCCAAAAAGGTGGTTACAGTACACAAATGGAATACTTTTTAAGTAACGGGAACCCAGGGATTATCCTGAATCTTTGACGACCCCTCTTGCGGAAGGAGGGCTGTTCTGGAAAAGACTAAAAAAGAATCCAGAAAGTGCAAACGTCTTATGCGTACGATTCTTCCACTTAAAAACTGCAGCGATGATGATTCAGTTGTAGATGGTGCCAATACCGCTTTCACCATGATTGGGCTTGTGTCCGCGGGATTCGTGACTGAGAAGGCCGCATTTGTTTGTTTAGGGAAGATGGAGGAAGAAGGAGAAGGTCGTCGTTGCGAAGGAGCAGTAAGGGTTAGTGCTGGATAGCGATTTTTGTGCTGTAGCTGTTCGATATTGTTCCTTTACCGTCTCACTCCTTCCCTCTCTCCCTTCCTCCCTCGCTCCCTCCCTTCCTCAGTTCTGAAGCGATCATTTGAAAGTCGGAGCTGCGAATGTATCTTGGGACTAAGTTCTGAGCGGTTCAGAGCCCTTTCCGGAGAGGTCACGGGTTTTGACCTGGGCAAAGGTTGGAGTAAAGACAGGCGAAGGAAATTTCCCTGACATCTTCTAGGTGATGATCGAGGTCGGTCTCTATGGGGGGTTTGTTGGCGTGGGCGATTTCCCCTCGTCACTTCTCTTCTCGGGCGTATTCCCACGATTTTACGACACACATCGGATGTGCCGTGGCGTCACTTCAGTTCAAGTTCTGTGTGGGTCAGTAATGGCACCTCTGAGAACGGCTGCGCCAGGGTGATCCCATTCCTTTTTTTCCAAAACACGGCCTTCATACTTATCCGATTCCCAGAGCATGAGCCTTTTTTCAGGCCCATTTTCTATCCAATTCGGAATGGCTGTTCGGAATGCTGACTAGTTCGCGTTGCTTCTTGTATGAAGCCGATCATTACCTATTCAGATGCGTCAACATTTTGGAATTAGAGTCGTCTACATGGCGTAATCAGAACAAAGGACCAAAACAGATGGGCCTTATAGGTGTAGTTCCTCTGTCCTTAGAAATCAAGCAGATTTCTGCTGTCAATGGTGAGAACCATACGAACGAAACCTCATCGACGGTCATCCGTCATAACGCTAATTCATCCGCCGCCATCTTTGCGGCGAAGAATCTCAGGCTCATTAAAGGGCGAACGGTTGATCCGAGTCGTTAAGATAGAGTCGTTTGTGCACGGACACATGACGAACGATGTTTCTGTCCGATTTGATGTCGAGACAGCGTCGTTCGTCAGTTTCGGGGAAGCTCCCCCTTATGCTCTCCACCCCTTCTTCGCGTTCCGTCCAGAATGCCCATAAAAAGCCCATATGATGATGGTCACATTCAAATGGTCCGGCACACGACCAGATGGCCGCCGACAGTCTCGAATTCGTCAGTGGGCGAACTTTGTCCTGTGCGAGTTTTTCTGCGTTCGCTTCCGAAACATCTGCTTGACCAGCCAGCGCCTTTCACCCCTTACGTTCGCAACCCTTCAAATGGTCGTTAAGAAACGAACCGGGTCGGTAGGCAATTATTAGACCGTAATCTTCTTGTTGATTCCTTTAGTCGAACGGAGACTAATCGACTGAAAAAGGTGCTGCAGAGAAAGCAGCAGACAAAATGGACCTAGCTGATGAGAAAAGTCAGACAAGGAGCGGAAGGAGGGAAACAAAGAAATAAACAAATAAATGGACAAGCATGTCAATAAACAGAAAATTAACGAACTGGGCGGTTTCAGCGGTAGAGGGTCAGTTGTGGGCCAAAACCACCACTCCTAGCCTACTCAAAAACTCTGGTTGATTACGTAGATGCGTACCTACAACTGCGTAGACCTCCTACAGATGTGCTTTCGTTCAGATTAGATCACGAACAGTCAGCAGTAAACCGTTGTTTGAAGACGTCGCCTTTTCGTAACCATCAGGTCCATGTCCGCCCACGAAGTGTTCCAGTCCTAGTGAATCTACTCCTCGGGACGTGCCTGGATTTCAAACCCTCTGTGCCTTCATGCTTACATACTTGAGACCACTTAAGGGTCCTTGTTCACCGGGGGCAGGAGGCCACATTCATATCCGACCGTAATCGACCCATGCCAAAAATTCACCTCCACCCTCCTTAGGTTTCAGTGAATCTTAATAAAAAAGCTGGAAATTCAAGCTGGAAGGGGGAAATAGTGAAGGGACCGTCGAGGTTAGAGTGGGGTAGCAGTACCCACTCTCACTACTGCTTTTTACATACCTTGGAGGCCTGATCTAGTTTTCAAGTGATCACGACAGGAGCACATTGGGTCTCATCTGAATTTCGATTCAACTAATCGGTGAAAAGAGAAAAATACATGAGTATCAGATATAGCTTTACGACGATAATATGTGCGAGGCTCTTCATACAGTTTCGCCGGAGATGAAAACTCGTCCAGGAGCTTTTTCTGTGGTGGTGTCATCGTCATCATCGTCGTCGTCGTCGTTGTTGTCATTGACTACTCACTTCATCTCAATAGCTGTTTTTCCGTTGACAAGATCCCTATGAAAGCAGGTGATATATGATGGGCGATTATCGGCTGATTTCCAGCCATAGGACCACAGCCGTCACCTAAGGGGAGCACGTCGGACGTCGACCGCGGCATTGGCAATCAGCCACCACCCGTCAAAGGCGACAAACTCGACCTTGGCTGGTCTTTGAACGAACTGAAGTGCTGGTAACCTTTGACTTACTCATGGTCAATTGAAAATGGAATTCAATGGGAATGAAGCTAATCAACCCGGGTTTCGCCGGACCCTTGGACTCAGTTCAGTTCTTCGCCATTGCCAAGTTAGAAAGTCCTTTGTGCGGCATGTCACTTCGTCGCCACGAATCGTGATTTACGATGGGATGCCCCCGAAAAAATCATTTCTTTCACTTGCCCGGGACAATGCTTTGCAAGTGGCCCGAAATCAATTTTTTGAATTTGATGGATATGTCCCGGAGTAAAGAAAGAGGCAAAAAATCGGACAAAGCCAAATTAGGAGGGGGTGCGCTGCGAGCGGTTTTTATCCGGTGAGAGCTGAAATTTCGTCGATGGATAAAAAGAAGTAGAATTGGTAGAATACTCCTTTTTTTTGAGTTCTCCTCTATCTTACTTCATAGGCGATAAGTCGGGGGATGTCTCTGAATTCTTCTGATTAATGAAGATTGACCTTATCAGTGAAAAATTACACTAAATTTAGGAAATAAAGAAATAGAAGGAAAAATTGTTAAAAAATTGAGCATTAATAAAAAAATTTAATACTTGAATTCATTTTGTTAACTTCCATGGTGTCAGAGCGTCTATGTGGGAGGGGCCTGAGTGCTGTTTTCTGAACTTCCAAAGTACTGCTGATTTTTTTTCAAACTGACAAGAATACGACTCGTTGCTATACGAAAGACCCTGATACGGTAAAACTACTGTAAGACTCTTGAATCAGGTCAACTCTATTCTACGGTCATTTCTTCTCAATGAGCATATTTATCCAGCAATGATAGCTTGTAACCTTTGCTCTACATATATAATATTTAGGTAGATATCGAGTTCGTAGGGATTTTAGTTTGAAGTTCCGCTCCGATAGGGCCGATAGTAACGGCTCCTGCACAAACGGCTCTTAGAACCTCATTCTGCAGATTCTATGCAAAGGCATGACTTTTTTGTCAAAAAAAAATCATAGGCAAAACCTATGCCTTTCTCAATCTTGGCAATTCTCCAAGGAATACTTCTGCAGACTAATAAAATCCTATAAAAAAGTGCTTGTAAAAGAAGCCTATTATACTCTGGAGACATTCCGAAACATGCTCCAGGAGCATCCCATGAGACTGTGATACATCACGCAATCGTGAACGGGCGATAACGGCATATATTTCATGCTTATTCCCATCTATCCGAGCGTAGGATATTTTGGGGGCTGAGCGGGGATGGATAGGAAGGGATAGGAGGGGAGGGAGGAAGAAGGGGTCGGGTGGGGGTACTGGAGATGAACGTCATAGACAGCTGAACAGTTTAGCCAAAAATCGAGATCACTAAACGAAAAACGAGTCTGAGTCTGGCATAGTCCTCAGGTGATTCAATTTAAGATTCAGGGTTGTCCCTTCCAGATCGCCTTCTCTATTCACACGAGAAATGGTTTGTCTACTACAGCCGGCAACCTCGCAGATGATCCATTTATATGGTCGTGAGAGTTGCACCATCTCGTTCTGCATTAAGTGATGTACCCCCTAGATTATGCATCATCATCCGAGTGAATCTGATGTGTTTGAGCAGAAGGGTTGTTGTTTACTGTTGTTGTTCTCTTGCTTGCGAAAATGCAAATGAGCTTCACCCTCCAGATTTCACTCAATCGTATCCATCAGGGATTGCATGGGCATGCAGTAGTCCTAGCAAAGGGATCCTACTAGTAGTCTGTAACCTGCCCTCCTACACCTGAATAGCTTCCGAAGAGAACCCAATGGCGTTTTCCTGACTTTTTGAAAAGCTCCCTCTTTCGTGGATGGCAGTGGGAAGGAAGCGCCTTACTAATTGTACTCATCCTTGCGGTAATAGGTAATGTTACGCCATGCCTCGAATTTCATTAAAAATATCGGGAATGCATGTTTACTATCAGCCCTTGAAAAGAGCAAAAAGGGCAAATGGTAAGGGTATTGATTTCAGTTGAGCTATTTTCCTAGGAAAAACCATTCCTGGCTTAGCACCACAAGTCACGCATGGGCATTCGAACGGTCACTACGATTCTAAATGAAATTCGAATGCGGGGCGCATCCTTCACAAGGGGTTTATTGACGCTAGAGATTCTATTCCTTATTTATCCTCCTCTGAATATTTACTTTTTGTTTGTTTTGTTTTTCTGAGGCCGCTGGTAATTACTTATATACTGCCAGTCATTGTGAATATAGTAATAATCCTCATATATATTATAGTAAACATCGAATCTGGGCTTCTTCTACCCATCGCTCCTTACCCTTCGCCTCACCGGGTATTAGTGACGGAGCAGTTTCGGGAGCATAACGTGGGCCAGGATTACCCGAATGGGATTAGTAACGTTGAAGCAAAACATGTATCAGGGCTACTTAGCTGGAAGAAAGGGAAAGCAACATTGTTGGGAACGTAGCAGTGCAGTTCAAAGGCGAGTATCAATCAGCTACGTATTGATTGGCTATCAGGGTGACAGCTATTTATCACCCATCTAATGGATGCCTGATAGGTCTCTGACCAGGTGAGTGTATCCGGCTAGTACGGAACAACACGATGAACGTGAAACAAGACAAATGGAATGCGACCAAAAAGTTGTTTAGAGGGGCGATTTGTACGTTATGTAGATTCCAGACATTGATGGATTCCTTCTTTGATGAATTATGGGCTAAATACGTTCGGAAAAATTAACTAATAGGACGACTAAGGTTATCAACTAAGGGACATAGTCCGTGGTAACTCTGAGGTATCTGGCTTAAGCGACGTGATGAAAGCTGTGGTCCAGAATAGTGCCAAAATAGCGAAAGAAGCGCGAAAATGGACTGATTTTGAGAAATGTAAAGCCTCGAAAAAGTAGTAAGAAAGGGAGTTGCATGGGATCACGTGTCTGTAACCGTCTGGATGTCTCTCACATACGCGTACTATTTCTCCGCGTCCTAACGCTTCATTGTGAATGGTCCAGCCTTAGCAAGGCCGTCATAAGACGACCCCTTTTGGATACATACTTCGAACAAGCCGATTTCGGAACCGTTATAACGTCCTATCGAGGTCGTTTTTCCACCCGGCTTATGTTCCACATGCTATCCCTGTGGGCCACAAATTCAGCCTAGGGAAGGAGAAGAATTATAAAGAGACTGAACAAAGTTGAAGCCACCGTAAACTTCCAAGAGTCTGAATGTTGTGACTTAATGGAAAAAGGAGAAAGGGAAAAAGAAAGGTGAAGAAGAAATTATTGATTTTGCCAGAATTAGGCTTTAAACTTACAAAAGTTATAATTTAGGGTTTTCTATGATATCAGAGATGAAGATAAGAGTTAATTATTGTTTTGGTCCGACGATAACAAGTAAATAATTTCTCCTAAACAAGCTGGACTTGTTTTGTTCAAGTTCTTCGGAATGTCATTTGCAGTTGATTAAAATTAGCGCAGGCTACATGAATGCGCAATGTATAACTATCGATTCTTAATGATGTTGAACGATCGATCGATA